TGGTGGGTGTGAAAAGACATGTTATGCCAGTCGATCTTCCTCAAAGTGTCAGTATCAGTGGAGCTGAGATAAACCCTACTGTCCGGGCTGTAAGCAGTGATGTCTAATGTTGCAATTTGGCTGAGAGCAGGCCTTGTTGAAGATGCGCATTTCAAAAGATTGTCATAAAGTGATAGGGTTTTTGTTGTGGATTGGAACATACTGTATAAGCTGTGTGGTTCAGCAAAGAAGTAGAGTGAAGGATTTATTTTCTCTGGTGGGTTATGATGACAGTTGTTTAGCAGAACTAAGGCATGTTAAAAGTATCATACGCGTAGTACAACCACGCCCACATATTCGTTCCCACAGCGTCTTGTTCAGTTTATGAAGCTGGCACTGCGTTCACCGCTCATTCCTGAACCCAGGGACCCTCCCACCGTGCTACTCACGATGCACTGTACCCGCTTCCGAACGGAGTCAAATTGTCGCTGTGACGTAACCTGTGAGCGACCGTTGATTACGCCACGTCCAATTGCCCGGAAATACAAATTGCGAGAAAGAAAACTCTGATGGAAAAACTTTACTGAATCAAGCGCTTTGCGAGCGGTTTTGCCAAAATCTGAGACTCCAGAAGCATAGAATGGAAAGAAAAATTATCGACTGATCCTTTGACGGCAATTTTGGCGAGTTTGGACCATTTTAATGGGATTTATGGAGCCTTGAGCTGGAAAGGTCAGCTTCAGACTCCCCAGCCTTCCCTTATTTCTTATTGTTAGTAAAACTCAAAATCTAAATCGTCGATAAAACGGCCTCCAAATGGCTCTAGAAGCGAAGAGACAGTTAAAAACAAAACAAAAACACAAGGAGAGTCATTTTTATTTCTTTTATTTTGGTCAAAAAATGAAATTTAGGACGTATTTTGTTTATTTTCATACATTCTCGTATAAATTCAAAGTCTCAACGAACTCCCACAGCGTTTGGGCTGTCTGTGGTATCCCTTGCTAATTTGCACAAGAGATCCGAGGCTCTTGCCCGTTATTATGTGACGTTACACTGGCAAGCGGAGTGGGCCAAGAAACGTAGGTGGAAAAAAATAGAGTCACCTTCCCCCCCCTCCCCTCCCAGCACCCTGCTACGACAATATGTTTTTGTTGAATTTTTGTTTGCGCTCTTTTTTTATGAGTGGCATGCGTTTGTACTAGATAGATGGATAGATACATAGATAGATGATTTAACTTGCTCAATTCAACATACTATGATACAGATTACATTTACACGGACAATTAATAAAATTTAAATGAGGAATAAAATATTTAAATATTTTTATTCCTTATTTTGTTTATTGTTTACTGTTTTGTTTGCCAAAAAATTATACAAATCAATTAAAATCTAATTACCCTAACTCTCATGGCGAGGAAGCCCAAGAGAAGCCACCGGGCTTATAAGGAATGGGCTCCCTCAGTTAGATAATTAGAACAAAATATTATCATAATTACACACGGGAAAATCAATGGCAGAGCTACAGTAAATCTTAAAATAAGTATATTAGATAGTCGTACTAATCATAGTTCTAGGCTAAAAAAAGCGAAATGACAAAAAGAAAAAAACAAAACAAAACAAAACAAAAGAAAATAAAAGAGCAAAGGAAGAAAAAAAAAATATATATATATATATATATGTTGCATAAAAAAACGGTCCTTGTAAAAAAGCGTCATTTTTATGTAAAAAAGCTGCTTTTTTACAAATTGAGCGGTTGTAAAAATACTGCTTTTTTACAAAAATATATTTTTGTAAAATAGCAGCTTTTTTACGTAAAAAAGCTGCTTTTTTACAAGTTACCTGGTTGTAAAAATACTGCTTTTTTACAAAAATATTTTTTTATAAAAAAGCAGCTTTTTTTATGTAAAAAAGCTGCTTTTTATGTAAAAATCTGTTTTTTTACAAAAGATATTTTTGTAAGAAAGCTGCCTTTTTATGTAAAAATCCTGCTATTTTACACGTATAGACCATTTGACAAACTCATTTATCGAAGACAGGCTGTTTTCTATAGCATGGTTCGAAATTTATCGAACTGTAGTTTTCGTGCGCTTCTCAAACCGTACATTTTAAGATATCCGGCTAGTCACGTTCACGTTCCCGTGTCCCCTTTATTGTGGGGCTTTTAAATTCCCTTGTTAACTCGCTGACAGCGTTAAAAATTTACGTTCTTTTTATTCTTTTTATTCTTTCTTCTTGTTTCCTTTGTCATTCAATTTTCCAGGACCTTCTAATTGTTGGATGCGAAGAAGGAACAGGCAGTAATTTCATTTGTTATGCTTATCGGCCGAGGTCACGCACGGCAGTAACTGCATGTTAGGCAATAATAGAATAGCTGGGTTATTCACTGTCTTATTTATAAGCAATGCCTGTCACAATCTCTTGCAGCAACCAAAGCCTTCTATTCTCTCCCTCATTGCTACTTTTGTTCAAGCCAAAAACTGTACAGAATATTATTCTGTGTTATTTATCTATTCTCCCAAGGTTATCAGCTGCAATAATCGGTTTAACTGTCAACAAAATACTTGGCCATAATGCTTTGATGCTCTTAGCAGTGGACAAATAAACATAAAATCTTCAGCAAGAATCAACGACAGCAATTGTTAGGCAATTTCCCGTATTATGTATGTGGCGCTAAACCTCTATCACGGGATTCATGCTATGTTGAAATCCATGTTGATGCATGCAAGAGTGTCATGTCTGCGTTACAACTTTAAGCTTTCAACATGATGTAGGAACATGTTCAGTCGGCTAATCAAGCAAAAGGAAACGTTAGCCTATAGTTACAAGCGTACATACACTCGCTTGTTAGTCTAATTTTTGCAATACACTGAGCAACTTGTAAGGCCATAAAAACAGCAGTCGATTTGTTTATAAGAATTAGGGACTATATAAATGCGGTCTGTAACGTACGCCAATGCGTTTTTCATTTTAGAGATGGAGAAAAAAGCCAGAAAACACTTGTAAAGGCTGAACAACTTTAATATTAAGTAATGGTCCGTGTAAAAGGTAGGCAGGCGAACGGCAAAAGTGATTAAAAGGTGCTAACTTTTAATCATTAATTTCAATTAAATCAAGCGTTCTGATTGGCCGAAATCCAAAAATCGCCAAAAAAACAGTCAGAAACGTGACAAAAACACCTTTTTTTAGCTTTATTTTCCCCATTCCCCTGTCTTATACCTCACGGCCAAGTTTCAGCATTGTTCTATGCGCCAATCAAAAGTTAGAGCGGAAAACGTGCAACACACGCGCGACCTTGTTGTGACCCCATCTTAGTGTGACACTTGAGATGTTAGGAAATTTGTCTTTTACCCGAAGAAATCTCGTCAATTTCTTCGTGAAAAATCTGCATTTTTTCTTTATTGAATATTTATCTCAAATTTACTGTATTTTATCATCGGAGTGATCGTCAAAATGCTCTTAAACATGGTTTGCTGCCGTCCTCGACATGCCGAGTCGCCATGTGGGAATTTGGGCCCGGCGTAGTTGTTTTCGTTGTCAGGCCGGATCAGGAGGAGATCAGAATAATTGTGGCACTAGAAATTGGAGTACAGCTGGGCATAAAAGGAGAAAGCGAAAGATTTGTTGTTTTTACAAGGATGAATTTATTTCTCGAAGAGATGTAGAACACTTGAGCTTGAGGTAAGCTGAATTCAATAGATTTTCGCACCTCCGCGCGCATTATGTGTTATTCATGTGTTTGCCCCTTTCGAAACTTCCATATTCCGTGTATCTTTACCCATCTTTCATTCGATTTTTTTTCTCTCTAGACTGCTTCATCAAGCGAAATGGAAGTTCGCCGTGGACCTTAAGTTAAAATGAGCGAATTGAAATTTGTGACACGTTTGCATTTTGTACCTTTGAGTTCTGAGACGGAGAATACCGAGACGGAAGCCGCTTAGGTATCATAAATAGCTGTCACTGGTGTTTGAGTTTCTCTTGGTACGGAAGATCTAGCGAGCATGACTGTAGCTTGCCTTTATTTTTTCCAAGGACGAGAGAGATTGTAAGAAGGATTTTTATAGAGTAATATCAAAACCTTGAAAACAGATAAACTGTAGGAGAGCTTTTTCTGAAACCCGATTATCCGAACATGCAGGAATTTTTTCTATCTGGGCAACATCCTCTTTTTTTCCAAAAGCAGAACATTTAGATAACATTTGGATTTGATTTTGTGTACTTGTTGTTGTTCTGTATGGTGGCCGAATATGAACGCGCGACATTGGCGCGTTCGCCAGATTCGCCACGTGAGAGTGAATTGCTGCTGTTTACGATCATGGTTTTGACATTTCTTTTGTGAGAGCCGACGTAAATGTTGTTCCCAACGTCGCTGATTGATGTAACACTGTGCTCATCTTCGTGTAATTTCATATCAGTTTAACTTCCTCGGGTTTGGCGCATAGAAATCTTTTAAATTTTAGATATGTTATATTTTTCAACTTAACAAAGCAATAGACGAAATAAAAAGTTGTTCGAATGAGTCTTAAGCTATCTTAATTCAACTTTAAAATTCAAATTTCGCGCTTTTAGCTGTATTGACCAATCAGAGCATTCAGATTTAATTTGATTAGAGAAATTAGCGCCTGAAAAATAACTGACGCTATTGCCGCGGGCTATTGTTTTTCTGCCTGCTTCTTAGCTGGACCATTACTTAATACAAGCTGAATTCGCCAGCAACATTTAGTGTATGACCGTTTTTTTACAAAACATATTTTTGTAAAAAAGCTGTCCTTTTACAAATATATATCAGTGTAAAAAAAACAGCTTTCTTACGGTACCGTTTTTTTACACAACATATATATATATATATATATATATATATATATATATATAAATTACTATTTAACTTGTTAAAACATAAACTCCAAAACTACAAGTAAAATTGTCTTAACACTTTTATTATTGACGAAAGGAATTGAGGGAACTTGATATAGCATTGACCAGAGAAAAAAGCGTTCCGTAAATTCTATCAAAATATCCCTTATCCAAACCCAATTCGCTCCTAAACGTCTCTGTAAATTTCGGAGCCTTTAAGACGTGACAAAGCAGGTCACCCATTATAAACAATAAAAGTTTGACAGTTGAAAGTAATTTGAATAACCTCAGGGCGCATGTTCTCCAGCTGACATGTCTCCTTTGAGAACAGCGTCAAGAGTTGCCAAAACAACAAGAACTCTCTTTTCAGGCAACCACACCAAGATCAAAATTCTCACTGGCTTCTCGACAGGTCATTGATCAGAGACAAGTCAGACACATAAAACGAGGCATCGAGGCTCTATGTTGATTTACAATCAAAACATATTTTGTCTGAACAAAGGCATTCACAAAAAAATCAAGAAACATATAAAAGCAAGCGTAAGATGGAATAACCGTTATCGCGGGCCATTTCAGTAGCCCTTATACGCAACAATGTTCACAACATAAAATTCGATTTATCAGGGCTTGAATCACCGCACTGATTTAATTATGAGTACAGTATGTTGCCCAGTATCCGGACACTTCAGTTTAACATTGAAATAACTTTCCTGTGTTAGTCACAAGAGCTCTGAAATTTGGCCCAGAGAAAATCTATTTAGTCTTTAATATGACGAAAGACATTTTAACTGTTTTGCCTTTGTTTCCATCGCGAAATTAATATTTTTGCAGAGCTCCTATGTTGCCCAGTATCCGGACAGGTTGCCCAGTATCCGGACACAACAATAACAACGTGATTGTACATAAATTTCGACAGGCAAGTGACTTATAAGCTTCTCTTGCACTTGTAAAGTAGTCTGGCATGTCGATTCCAAAAATATAACCTAGCGTCGTGAAACAAAACATAACAAATGACTGGGGTATGGTGGGGAACGCGAGCGGTTGTTAAATGGCATAATTCTTACTTCCTTGTCTAGGAACTTTTTCACTGATTTAAGGAAGGCATACGTGGACATGCCGAAGCCGCGGTTTGCTAGCTCAATTAGCCAATCTGCAAACGAGTTTTTTTTTCTTCATTCTTTATTTTAAAAAAAAAATGCTTGGGGAAGGGACGTACCTCGATGCGACGGTCAAAGGTCACTCTCCTATTTAGTCTGACCTGCAGTGTTGATTTCTTCATGCTCCGTCCCTACAGACGCCTGCTTTTCTAGCACTAATTCCTCCTTCTTTCACATCTCTCAATCCCTTTGTGACATTTTTCAGACCGTTGTAACCCCATTCTAGCAGTCACAACTGGGGAAAGTATGAGAATTCCAGGTTTAACTTCGACGCTTTCGGTTATATATAGAAAATGTAGTCACGCAAAACAAGCGGCGCACACGAAATCAAGTCGCCTCCGAATGAAGAAAATTTCCATACGGAGTTGAGTAGAATTACATTTTACGACTATATCATATATCCTAAGCTTTAATTATAGTTATGGATATGAAATAAATCTTATCCGGACAATGTACACAGCTAATTCATCGATTCTGTACGGCAAAGAAAAAACTGTCCGGATACTGGGCACATGACATCAAAACTTAGTGAATGTTTTTGGGCTCCTTTATTCCAAACAAATCGAATTTCAAGAAGAATTAATAAACTTTCTGAGAACTTGACTTCTTTAAGTATCTTCACGGTAAATGTAAAACCGTTTCTATCACATATTAACTACCCTTTTCCGAGCAGCGCTAATTTTACTGCGCAGTAAACAGCGTAAATATTAGCCATGAAATGTTTATTCACCTCAACAGAACGGCGTCTTCTGCGACTGTTTCGCACGCTTTCAACTCGCCAAAACCTTCATCTTAAAGCTGAAATGTTCAGCTTTCATTCGAAATACTTCGTTTACCGATAACTGAAAAGGGCGCCTCAAAAATTGAGTTTTGGTTTTAAGTGTCCGGATACTGGGCAACATACTGTACAACATGAATAAATCGAATCAAGAAAGAGAAAGAAATAATACTGTTATAAAATCGTTGGGAACCCTCAGTATGGCGTTTATGTTTGCTCGAGAAAATATAACTGAGTAGCTTATTATTTCAAAGGCCAAGAGTCGTTACTTAGAGCGTTTTGCACTTTATTGAAAGTGCAATGGGAACAATTTGTAAAAACAGTGTATTAAATCGACTGTGTCCTTAACAAGGAGACTTGAGCTTATATGTTCACATTATACAGGACAGCTTTACGTAGCAACACGAAAACCTATGTAGTATGGTACGAACACCCAAGTGACTTTCCATTTTAGATCAGATATCAGACGGCGCAGCTTTCCTCCGTATTTATGTGTGAACAGAAGCCGTATATCCGGCATGGTTTTGGTGCCGACGCAAAAGCTATCCTTGCTGTCCGCTTTAATGTGAACATAGCCTTAATCAAGAGCAACAAATGACTTTTTAGAGATTACTATAAACTTACCTAGCTGCTCCAACAGAAAAGGCAACTTTCAATTAGGAGTCAGCGAGAATTTCATCTCGTTTCTTTAGGGAATTGTCCCGGGTTTCCTATCAAGCAAATGAAAGATTAAATTAATTCATTTCACTTTCGAAGACAAATTTCCACCGTTGACTGATTCACAAAGGGCTCCGCCTGACTTAACTATTGTGAGATTATTGCGACTGGCCAATCATGCCCCAAAGTGGTGAAAATGCCCTATAGACAAGAGCAGATAATCAAATCTGTCAAACTCTGGAACTATCTAAAATGACAAATAACTGATTAAGTCGAAGATTTCATTCGTGCAGTTATTTAAACCTCAGTACAAAAATGTCACCTCTCATGTTTCCTTAAGCATTTGATTATTCTAAAAAATGTGTGGTATAGAAAAATCTTTGATCGACCATGACAAACTCTAATTTCTCTATAGTCGAATCTTTGCTGACGTCATTGTTTACATTTGTCCTCATTAGCATACGACTTAACTCATAGATCGCCCCCCAGTGTAAAGCCCCGTGCAAACCGACGCAACATTGTTGGCCAACAACTCCCAACATTGTTGGATGTTACATGTTGCGTCCGTTTGCACACCCTGTTGCATGTTGTTGGATGTTGTTGCATGTTGTTGCGCAAAGTTTGAAACCGGTCAAACTTTTCAGCCAACAACTCCCAACATTTCTTTTGTTCCGTGATCGCCGAAGCGTAGCGCAACAATATTGGATCTGTTTGCACAGCTCTTCTAACATTGTTGGGGCCACGCACGCTCATTACGCATGGTTTACAAAGACTTATGGGTTGTATCCTTCCCACGTTGCACTGCAGGTCCCAGCATTGTTGGGAGTTGTTGCATCCGTTTGCACACCACTGCCAGCACGAGCCCAACAGCTCCCAACATTGTTGGCGCAACAACGTTGGGAGTTGTTGCGTCCGTGTGCACGCAGCCTAAGGAAATCCAGGACAGTCGTGGATTCTGGACTCCACGCTGTGGATTCTGGATTCCAGGTACTGGATTCCAGTATTTGTCAGTGGAACTTGGATTCTGGATTCCAATCGTTAATGGGATTCCGGATTCCACAAGCTGTATTCCAGATTCTAAAACCTAGCATTTCCACAGGGAAAATGTTCCTGAATTCCGAAATCCAGATTCCCTTACTTGGGGCGACATAGAAGCCGTCGCCGTATAAAAGAACTTAATTCAAAACTTGAAAGAGCTGATTAACTTGAGCAATTTGTGCAACTCTTCCGACTCTCACCGAGCTATTTCGAAAAATTCAAGCGGATGCCGGCTCCTGATTGGGTACAACAAATTCTTTGTATTATTGTGCCCAATCGGGGAACAGTTTTCCTGAGTTCTTTTCGTGAGTTCGTACACGACGACTATAAATCTCGATCACGGCTTGTCTGGCTCATGCACCACTGAAATGCACGCAGTCAGGAAACATTCAGTTTGAAATAAAATCCCCATCTGATTTCAAAATACTGTCTGCCCCAAAACTAAAGACGCTATTCCAGAAATACAAGCTTGATCTTGTAACAGGTATTTACGCTTGCGTCTGTCACGTCTTGCATAAATACTAAGGAGTTTTTAAAAGATACCACGACGACTGACAACCACGTAAACGTCGCACGGAAAAGGGAATTCGCATTTTTTCAGTTTCTATCGTGATTATTCCAACTCACTTACTTTGTCAAATGCAAGCGAACTCTTCTGGAGCTGAATTCCAAGTTCATGAAGAGAATGAATTTTGTCATTGCTTGTTTACGTTCTTCACAAAACATGACTGATTAGGCATTTTTACGGGTAGTCGTGCAGTTAACGGCAAAGAAGTGTGATGTACGTGCAAAGCTTTTTCTTGCCTTGTCAACCTATTGCTTATTTGACTTTCTTGCCGCCGCCGCATCTTAAACTTCCTATTATTTACCGTATATTGTGACGAGTCAAAAACAGAATATTCTCGGGGCAAATTGAATTGCTCCTGCTGATAGCATCCCAAACTTTTTTTCGACTCATCAGTAGTTCCTTCGTTTTTGGTTAGGAAAGTAGAAAATAAAAGTTTCCCTTGCACGCACAAGATTGGTGAACGAACCGGGCAAGTGTGGCGGGACAATAGCCGTCGTGTACGAACTCACGAAAAGAATTCAGGAGAAACTGTTCGCCAGTTGGGCACAAGAACAAAGCATTTTTTGTGCCCAATCAGGAGCCGGCATCCGCTTGAATTTTTGGAAATAGTTCGATGAGAGTCGGTACCCAGGGGCTCTTTCGCCCGTACTCGAAAACTTTCGTCCCGCCTTTTCTCCTGACCCGACTGACTGCCCCTGGGTCTCAACGCTAAAAATGGTTTAGAAAAACGAAGTTTCACTAATCTTGCTTGATGAACTTTGAAATAAAAATATTTCAAATAAATATTTAAAAAGTTCTCGGTTCGAATTAAGACCCTAGCTGATTATCTCGCGTCACTCTTTTTATTTCTATGTAGAAGAAAACTAATTGAACTAGTGTTCTCAGCCAAATGCTGTTTGTTTGTTTGTTTGTTAGTCTGTGTGAACGAAATACTGTTCATATATTTAAGTAACAAAAACAGGTGGGTTAGAGTTTAATGGTTCCCAATTAGCATTTATGCAAGACAGAAATAGATAGTCATTTTTTATTCACCTCAACAGAACGGCGTCTTCTGCGACTGTTTCGCACGCTTTCAACTCGCCAAAACCTTCATCTTAAAGCTGAAATGTTCAGCTTTCATTCGAAATACTTCGTTTACCGATAACTGAAAAGGGCGCCTCAAAAATTGAGTTTTGGTTTTAAGTGTCCGGATACTGGGCAACATACTGTACAACATGAATAAATCGAATCAAGAAAGAGAAAGAAATAATACTGTTATAAAATCGTTGGGAACCCTCAGTATGGCGTTTATGTTTGCTCGAGAAAATATAACTGAGTAGCTTATTATTTCAAAGGCCAAGAGTCGTTACTTAGAGCGTTTTGCACTTTATTGAAAGTGCAATGGGAACAATTTGTAAAAACAGTGTATTAAATCGACTGTGTCCTTAACAAGGAGACTTGAGCTTATATGTTCACATTATACAGGACAGCTTTACGTAGCAACACGAAAACCTATGTAGTATGGTACGAACACCCAAGTGACTTTCCATTTTAGATCAGATATCAGACGGCGCAGCTTTCCTCCGTATTTATGTGTGAACAGAAGCCGTATATCCGGCATGGTTTTGGTGCCGACGCAAAAGCTATCCTTGCTGTCCGCTTTAATGTGAACATAGCCTTAATCAAGAGCAACAAATGACTTTTTAGAGATTACTATAAACTTACCTAGCTGCTCCAACAGAAAAGGCAACTTTCAATTAGGAGTCAGCGAGAATTTCATCTCGTTTCTTTAGGGAATTGTCCCGGGTTTCCTATCAAGCAAATGAAAGATTAAATTAATTCATTTCACTTTCGAAGACAAATTTCCACCGTTGACTGATTCACAAAGGGCTCCGCCTGACTTAACTATTGTGAGATTATTGCGACTGGCCAATCATGCCCCAAAGTGGTGAAAATGCCCTATAGACAAGAGCAGATAATCAAATCTGTCAAACTCTGGAACTATCTAAAATGACAAATAACTGATTAAGTCGAAGATTTCATTCGTGCAGTTATTTAAACCTCAGTACAAAAATGTCACCTCTCATGTTTCCTTAAGCATTTGATTATTCTAAAAAATGTGTGGTATAGAAAAATCTTTGATCGACCATGACAAACTCTAATTTCTCTATAGTCGAATCTTTGCTGACGTCATTGTTTACATTTGTCCTCATTAGCATACGACTTAACTCATAGATCGCCCCCCAGTGTAAAGCCCCGTGCAAACCGACGCAACATTGTTGGCCAACAACTCCCAACATTGTTGGATGTTACATGTTGCGTCCGTTTGCACACCCTGTTGCATGTTGTTGGATGTTGTTGCATGTTGTTGCGCAAAGTTTGAAACCGGTCAAACTTTTCAGCCAACAACTCCCAACATTTCTTTTGTTCCGTGATCGCCGAAGCGTAGCGCAACAATATTGGATCTGTTTGCACAGCTCTTCTAACATTGTTGGGGCCACGCACGCTCATTACGCATGGTTTACAAAGACTTATGGGTTGTATCCTTCCCACGTTGCACTGCAGGTCCCAGCATTGTTGGGAGTTGTTGCATCCGTTTGCACACCACTGCCAGCACGAGCCCAACAGCTCCCAACATTGTTGGCGCAACAACGTTGGGAGTTGTTGCGTCCGTGTGCACGCAGCCTAAGGAAATCCAGGACAGTCGTGGATTCTGGACTCCACGCTGTGGATTCTGGATTCCAGGTACTGGATTCCAGTATTTGTCAGTGGAACTTGGATTCTGGATTCCAATCGTTAATGGGATTCCGGATTCCACAAGCTGTATTCCAGATTCTAAAACCTAGCATTTCCACAGGGAAAATGTTCCTGAATTCCGAAATCCAGATTCCCTTACTTGGGGCGACATAGAAGCCGTCGCCGTATAAAAGAACTTAATTCAAAACTTGAAAGAGCTGATTAACTTGAGCAATTTGTGCAACTCTTCCGACTCTCACCGAGCTATTTCGAAAAATTCAAGCGGATGCCGGCTCCTGATTGGGTACAACAAATTCTTTGTATTATTGTGCCCAATCGGGGAACAGTTTTCCTGAGTTCTTTTCGTGAGTTCGTACACGACGACTATAAATCTCGATCACGGCTTGTCTGGCTCATGCACCACTGAAATGCACGCAGTCAGGAAACATTCAGTTTGAAATAAAATCCCCATCTGATTTCAAAATACTGTCTGCCCCAAAACTAAAGACGCTATTCCAGAAATACAAGCTTGATCTTGTAACAGGTATTTACGCTTGCGTCTGTCACGTCTTGCATAAATACTAAGGAGTTTTTAAAAGATACCACGACGACTGACAACCACGTAAACGTCGCACGGAAAAGGGAATTCGCATTTTTTCAGTTTCTATCGTGATTATTCCAACTCACTTACTTTGTCAAATGCAAGCGAACTCTTCTGGAGCTGAATTCCAAGTTCATGAAGAGAATGAATTTTGTC